ATCGGAGTAGTTTGTTCCTGGAATTTTCGTTTCTTAAGTTGTAAGGCCGTTTTCAATCGATAAATATTGTTTAAGCTCCTGGTCCTCCTTTTGAGCTTTTGCTATCTCGGTAATTTCCAATTGGGAACTGATTGATTCAATTCTAGAAAACAAATCAGCCGGAATATTCTTTGTCCCGCTCACATGTCTAACATCTGTCGTGAATTGTGACATATATGTTATCTGATTGAGTTGAACTGGTGGTAGGCGGTCGTGTTTTTGCTGAAAAACATACATAAGTGGTTTGTGGTCGGTGAACCAAGTAAAGTTACGACCAATGATTTGATTCTTGAAGTATTGGAATGCTTTATACCCTGCTAAAAGCTCGCGGTAGTACGTTGGCCACGTTCTTTGTTTTTCAGAAATTTTCTTCGAAAAATAAGCGAGAGGTTTCCATTCACCGTTTGTATATTGTTGTAACACTGCACCCACGGATTTGTCTGAAGCGTCTGTAAATAAAGCAAGTTCTGCATCCGGCAATGGATGTGTTAGTAAGGTAGCTTCAGCGAGATTCTTCTTACAAGCTTCGAAAGCTGCTGTAAGTTTTTCATCCCAGTCAATTTGGCTTGTGTCCTTTGATTTAGGTTTTGATAATAAAACTTGTAAATCTGCTTGATATCTGGCAGCATTCGGACAAAATTTTCGATAAAAGTTTATCATGCCTAAAAATCTCCGTAATCCTTTTATGGTTTTTGGTTTTGGAAAATTTAACAATGCGGTTATTCTCTCTTTTGGGGGTTTTGTACCATGCTCCATAATGCAGTATCCTAGGAATGTAACTTCCTTAGCGCCTAGAATGCATTTAGATGGGTTTACTACTATACCATAATCTGCTAAACGTTGGAACAACCTACGGAGATGGTGTTTCATGTTGTTCTTCACTTTTGGATGCGATTAGAATATCATCAATATATGGAAAACAAAAATCTAATCCACTGGTTACTTCGTCCATAAATCTTTGGAAAGTTTGCGCTGCGTTACGTAGGCCGAATGTCATAAAGGGGAACTCAAATAAACCAAAAGGTGTTGTAATTGCCGTCTTGGGAATATCTTCATCGTAAACAGGTATCTGCTGGTATGCTTTCTTAAGGTCTATTATTGAAAATATGTTACAACCTGATAAGTGTTGTGAGTAGTCACTCATGAGCCTGACTGGGTACCTATCCGGGATTGTTCTTGCATTTAATGCTCGGTAGTCTCCACATGGTCTCCATGCATCGTCTTTCTTTTGGACTAGATGTAACGGTGATGACCAAGAGCTACTTGATGGTCGGGCAGTACCTAATTGCACCATTTCTTCAAATTCCTGTTTGGCAATTTTTAACAGCTGAGTTTTTAATGGACGGGTTCGTGCTACCACTGGTGGACCAGGCGAGGTTTTGATATAATGTACTGTTGTATGTTTTATTTGACGTGGAAGTCCTGGCGGTCGCGTCAAAGAAGGAAATTCTTTAAAAATTTCACTAAACTTTGATTTGATATTAACAGTTTTAATGCTTCCCTTTTGAATGGTTCCTTTGTTTATTGTCTTTACCTGTAGGTTGTAGTACCGTCTACTAGTCTTGAATTCTTTGTGTCGACGATTATGTTGTAATATGACAGAAAATCTGCGCCTATTATGGGTGTTGACACATCAGCAATAACAAAATTCCAGATGAATTTGCGCCTTAGACCTAAGTCGAGATTCAATTGTATATCTCCATATGTACGAATCTCGGTATTGTTTGCTGCAGACAGTTTGTAATCGGACTCAAAAACTTTGCGTTGTACAAACATACGTGGGTATATACACAGATCACTACCTGTGTCTATCAAAAATTGTACTTTGGTTGGTTTGTCTGAGATGAACATGCGGCGTGAAAGTGCTTGACAAACACTTGCCGCATTTAGTGCCTGTCTTCTTCGTTTCCCGACATTTTGCATGGTTGCGTGCATTTCTTAGCTTTGTCTCCATATTTAAAGTGGTACCAGCACGTATCAAATCTTTGCCTATTACATTTCTTTGGCGTGAAAAACTTCTGGTGCGCGAGATTTTCCTAGAACGAGAATTATGCCGAAATCTAGGACGTCTATTTTGCAATTCAGCTATCATTTTTGTTAGGTCTTCTACGCGTTTTAATAATTCAGACGTTGTACCGTCGGTAAGGCTTGTGGCGGCTACTGTTGGCCCGATGTTAACCTCACCGATGCTATCTGCTATGGCGGCCAGGTCTTCAATTTTCATGGTCGGATGTGCCTTTAATATTTGTTGTGTATGCGTAGGTAATCTTTGTAGCCACAAGGTTCTTAAAATGTTCTCATCTAGTAGTGGACCGGCCAATGATGTTAGATGTCGTAAAAATTGCGACGGTTTTCGATCACCCAGTTCCTCTTGCTGTAGCAACCTTCGAATCTTTTGGTCCTGTGACTGTGATAAACGTTGTATTATTTCTTTCTTTAACTTAGTATAGGGCTCGACTTTCGGTGGATTTAATATTATATCTTCCACTTCACTGGCTAATTTGTCATCTAAATATGATAATATAAACTCATATTTGACATCTTCTGTTTTTATTCGTGATCGATTAAAATGTGCCTCGATCATCGCGAACCATAATTGAGGTTTTTCATACCAAAATGTTGATCACTCATTTCACAAATAATTGAGAAAAACAAATTAAATATTCACTAAAAAAAATGTCACTGAATGTTCAAAAAAAAAGAAAAATTACACTTCTTATAAAAAAAATAAAAAATGTTGTTGAATCTTGAATAATAAACTTAAGTTAATTCACTATTGTTCTGTTTTACTCACGTCACCAACTATTATATCACGTCGGGTGTCACCAATGAAGCAGTTTATGGATTGAAACAGTTGGTATAGTTTGTTATTGTTTATTCGCCGTGAAATATAGGTACAATATTTATATCGTGCTGTATATCTCTCCTGGCTGGTGAATGGTAGAATAGACCTTTTGCCTCGATGGCGGGTTCTTTTATTCAGGCCTGTGACGGCCATCTTGATGCGTGCGCATTCCCAAATGCTGCAGGCCCGTATTTAATGCAGGGCTGTATTTGGGTGTCGCCGCATATATATATATATATATATATATATATATATATATATATTATAATTTTATTTGAACAGCGATCAGAACTTATTGATTCTATGAACTGTTGTGATTAATATCTTACAAACTACGTTTGTTTTATTACAGATGGCAACCCAAACAGTTGTCTCGGTATGATAAATTTTTATTACAATCTCTGTAGTAGGGCAAGTATGGTGCAACAATGCCGGCTGAGGGCTATTTTCACTTGGAAACATATTGCTATTTATATTTCCAAGTGAAAATCGTTGTCACTGTTGCCTGACAACAAGCTGCTCGAAGTGGGTATCGAACCCGGGACCTCTGAAACAAGACCCGTCGCTCTTAACCGCTTACCTACGAGCAAGCCCAACAGCAAATATAGGAAGGAGTTTCTGCTCTAAACTCTATGAACTTTAATTGCAGCTAAGTAATACCTCCTCATTATTAATTTGGCTGCAATCAATTGGTGGAATTTGTTCAACTTCGGAATATGTTAGTGAATTAGGAACAGAGTCATCATCGTTATGAGTGGTTGGTTTAGTTAATTCATCTTCGACAAGATCTCCTGCACGTTATATTTTAGATATAAGGGTGTCGTTATTGAATATTTCAATGCATCATCACATAATGGATAAATGGATCACAATTTTCGTCATTCGATAATCGATTATATTATTTTCTCGATACTTAATTAAATCTATTTCCCTATTTTTCATTTTAGTTTCGGCATTATTCTTTAATTCATTTTCATACGTGACTTTATTGGTACGTATCCTCCTAACTCGATTGATATTTTTAAATTTTTCAATTTTACTATAGTGCGATATATTACGATTTATTCTCATGCTCTTGATGTTTTTAACGTTCTCGCTTGATTTATACCTACTATTTAGTCGTAATAATTTATTTCGTAAAATATTATGTTTACGCTCTTTCGATTTATACCTATCATCTTGACGAAGTTCTCTATTACGTTCAATATGTTTATTACTTCCTAATTGGTTAAATGCATCATCCTGACGGAGTGTTCTAACACGATCAATATTTCTAATACTTTCTAATTGCTTATATTCATCATCTTGACGGAATTATCTATTGCGTTCAATATTTTTATTACTTTCTAATTGCTTATATGCATCATCCTGACGGAGTTTTCTATTACGTTCAATATTTTTATTACTTTCTAATTGCTTATATGCATCATCTTGGCGGAGTTCTCTATTACGTTCAATATTTTTATTACTTTCTAATTGCTTATATGCATCATCTTGACGGAGTTGTCTATTACGTTCAATATTTTTATTACTTTCTGATTGCTTATATGCATCATCTTGACGGAGTTGTCTATTACGTTCAATATTTTTATTACTTTCTAATTGCTTATATGCATCATCTTGACGGAGTTGTCTATTACGTTCAATATTTTTATTACTTTCTAATTGCCTATATGCATCATCCTGACGGAGTTTTCTATTACGTTCAATATTTTTATTACTTTCTAATTGCTTATATGCATCATCTTGGCGGAGTTCTCTATTACGTTCAATATTTTTATTACTTTCTAATTGCTTATATGCATCATCTTGACGGAGTTGTCTATTACGTTCAATATTTTTATTACTTTCTGATTGCTTATATGCCTCATCTTGACGGAGTTGTCTATTACGTTCAATATTTTTATTACTTTCTAATTGCTTATATGCATCATCTTGACGGAGTTGTCTATTACGTTCAATATTTTTATTACTTTCTAATTGCTTATATGTATCATCTTAACGAAGTTGTCTATTACGTTCAATATTTTTATTACTTTCTAGTTGCTTATATGCATCATCCTGACGGAGTTGTCTATTACGTTCAATATTTTTATTACTTTCTAATTGCTTAAATGCATCATCTTGACGGAGTTCTCTCTTACTTTCAATATTTTTATTACTTTCTAATTGCTTAAATGCATCATGTTGACGGAGTGTTCTAGTACGATCAATTTTTTTAATACTTTACTTATATGCATCATATTGACGGAGTTCTCTCTTACTTTCAATATTTTTATTACTTTCTAATTGCTTAAATGCATCATCTTGACGGAGTTCTCTCTTACTTTCAATATTTTTATTACTTTCTAATTGCTTAAATGCATCATCTTGACAGAGTGTTCTAGTACGATCAATATTTTTAATACTTTGCTTATATGCATAATCTTGATGGAGTTCTCTCATACTTTCAATATTTTTATTAGTTTGTAATTGCTTATATGCATCATCTTGTAAATCTCTAACGTTCAATATATTTAATACTTTCTAATTGCTTATATGCATCATCTTAACGGAGTTGTCTATTACGTTCAATATTTTTATTACTTTCTAGTTGCTTATATGCATCATTCTGACGGAGTTGTCTATTACGTTCAATATTTTTATTACTTTCTAATCGCTTATATGCATCATCTTGACGGAGTTGTCTATTACGTTTAATATCTTTATTACTTTCTAGTTGCTTAAATGCATCATCTGTACGGAGTGTTCTAACACGATCAATATTGTTAATATTTCCTATTTGTTTTTATGTTTGATGAATTTCATTCGTAACTCATTTATTCTTTGTTCTCGAAAAACGTTATCCTTATGTCTTCGTAACATGTATTTATTCTCAAACCCTCATTTGTTCTATATTTCTGCATACGAATTTTATTTGCCTTTTTTCATTATTTTTATAGTTTTTATCATTTTTTCTGTTAATAGCCATTCGTTCCCTATTTTGTTCATTTTCCACTCTGAAGAAATTATCAGCATGTCTTAAAGATGAGTATTCTATTTCTTCCGCTTGAAGACTATCGCCACGTAATCGCTCCATTCTTGATTTGACAACTTCAGCTTCTAATTTTCTGTATTCCGCAATTTTTTGCTCTGTTTATATTTGGTTTTAACGTTCTTTTTTCTGTTTATTTCAAAATTGTAGAACCACTAATGATGACGTAGAATTTTACATCGAAACGTATGGAGAAACTAGTGTAGCGCATGGCATCGTGCCTTAAGGCAAATTGCTAGACCTTTCCGTACCAAAAATTACTATTTTTTAAAAAACGATTAACATTTTTAAAAAAAATTACTTGAAATGAATTAAATTTTTGAGAAACAAAAAATCACTTTTTTTGAAAAAAGTTTTTTTTTTAAAAAAAAAATGTTTTCTTTATTTTAACATATTTTGGAATTTCTGAACTTTTTTTTCAAAGCAATCGTACTGCTTTAACTGCATAGAGACGAAATGTCAAAGCGCGTAAGCGCCGCGTCGCCGTCTAACGGATGAACTTTGGTATGGAACCCATAGGAATGTAAACAAAATTTATACTTATTGTTAAAATCTCTATAAAATATCTGATAATTTGATGTGCATATGTCTAATGATCAATTTTGACCGCCAAATGGCATTTTACTTTTTTCATTAGATCTCCGAAACCGCTAGACCTGCCTTCATGACCAATTCTTCATCTTGTCAATGCAAGTAAAATGTTTTTTGAATTATTAAAATCGGAAGCTCCGTTCTCTTAAAAACTGAGTTACCGTTTTTGGCACTTTTTGCCCCATATATTCGGAACGGCTAGACCTGCCTTCGCCAAAAACTAATCAGCACGTCTCCTTATCAATAGGAATCGAATGTTTTTTGAATTATTCAAATCGGTTGATCGGTGTTCCCAAAATCGACGACGAAAATTTGTATCTGCACACACACACACACGCAGATCAATTTTTTCTAAGGTATGCCAAAATATTCAGAAACCTTTGAAACGAAAGATATATAAACATTTTCATTTTCGATTTTTTTGCGATTGCTATAACTTGCACTACTGGAAGTTAATAAATATATTTTAAAATTTTTTACTTTTATTTTTATTATACTTTATTTATCTTTACTTTTACTCTTTACTTATATTTATTTTTACTTGATGTTACGCCTTTCAAGAAATTAATCTATAGTCAATACAAAAAACTTTTTAGCGGTCATCTATGCAAATAATTAATAGAAAGAAAACTAAGATATGTTTCTTAAAATAAATTTATTAGATCCATAAGTTTCGAGTCCCAATTTGAGTGACAACAAAACGCACAAGTAATTACTACACAACTCAAATAAAAACTTGTCAGGAGATTATTACTTCGTAACAAAGCATGTTAGTGAAAAACTAAATGAGTCTGAATTATACTTCAAAAAGAATTAAACGAACAATAATAAATTCGAACATCATATCTTGCAGAAGAACAATAATTAATTAGTACACTCCTTAAATACTCCAATTATAAATATAACATAGCAATAATCACAGCAAGATAGAACTATAATTAAATACCAAAAACTTACAAATGTTTTTATCAGAAGCGCGATTCTCGTTTCAAAACTTAATTATATGCAATTTTTTAATCCATAATGTTCGAGTTTTTTGAGAAGAACAATTAAAGATCTAAGTGAAATGCAATTTTTGAGGAGGCGCCAAATCATGTACCAAAAATGTTAAATTATACATTTTATACAAAAGAAAATGAAAAATTGTATGGAAAACAAAACCTGAAATATATTAACCAGTAAAATTTATTCAAATGTTAGATTTAAATAATATTGTATATCGATTTAGAGTTTTGCAAGGCAGACCACCACATAAAAAGCATAACCTTTCCTCGAAAATGGTTTGCGAGCGACAAATATTTCCTAATAAATAATTAATTATTAAATCGTTTAATTTCATGTGCTACTATATGACCGTATTGATTTTTAATTGTTCATGAGTTTCTTGTTGAGCAAAAATAAATCTAAAAATGTGTTGTAAATTAGTTCAAGTACAATTTGCCAAAATGTTCAAATTATGTATTGTGTTGTTAATCGTAAAGTGTCGGTAGTTTTCTCGAATTGTAATTTTTGTTTCAAGATGTGTATATGTGGTCTTTGAATACGTAAAATTATTAAAAGGCATGAGATTTGGAACAAAATTCAATTGTTGAATGCAAACAACAACGTTTAATTAAATAACAACAACAACAAATTCCAAAATATTACTAACATGAGATGTTATGGTGAAATAATGGACTAGTTAATTAAAGTGAAAACAGTGTTATTAATTATACTACTGCAGTTATATCAAAAATAGATACAATAATATTAATTTTAATAACAATTACTGATGAATGATGGATAATACTAAAAAGGGCTAATAATATAGAAATATCAAATTGCGATTTAATTGCAATTAGATAAAAAGAACTGGACATTACACAATTTAAATATTTAATCTATTAAATTGTTTGACATTAGTAAGCAAAATGCTTCATATTTATAATGACACATTTATTTCAAAATGAAAAACGATATGAATATGGTATAAAGCTGATGGTGCTTCTACATGAATTAATATGAGTTTGTTATTCATATATGCTTCTATATGAATAAAAAATGTCATGGAAGGAATCAATATTAATTCAAATATGTACATAATATGATGATGTAGTGCGTAATGCAAGGTGTTTTCCGCACAATTTGAAATTAATATGTATTTTAATTGATTTATAAATCAAATGAGATGTGATCAAATGAGAAGTTCATTAGAATTTTGTTGGACTATTTGTTCATGAATACCCATTCAGCTATGACGATATAAAGAAAAATCTTGATTCGTAATGATCATTATGATAGCAATGATTTATTTGCTTGGATGTGCCCTATTATTTGTAAAACATTCTTTTATACATATGTAATCTTTGTAAGCTTTCATTACAGTCCAAGATATTTAAGGGATCTCTTTATCCTTGTGATTATGAAAATAGTTTTCAATTAAACAGGAAGACACCGCTCTGTGTTTGTTATATTGACTAGGCGTAGTGCACATGTCTAGAATTTCAGGCGGGTTCTTATTCTGAATAATATATTTTTCATTGAACATCAGAGATTGTTTACCATCTTCGATCAATACAATATATCAAATGAAATGGTATTTTGAGGTATGTGGAAAAAGTGTCATCACAATGAATAGTAGCATATCAAACGCATTAATTGACCTTCCATCACCTCCATATATAATCAATCAGAAGGATATTTTTAATTTGCACGGACTTCTTAACAAGAAGTCAAGATACAGAACTTTTTTTATGGATCAAGTATAATTTATTGTCAAACGAAGATATTTTAAGACTTTCAGAAATTATTATTCAAGGTAGTGAAGATAGATTTGTCCAACTCAATCGTGATGACAAAATTTTTTGACCTGACTTGCCTGATTTCTGGTACAAGTTCTTTTCAATCTTCAACAAATTTCTCTTTTGTCTAATATATATATTACCAAATTTGTGAAATTAATACACGAAGCAAGTTGAGAATATCATGCAGCATGGATGTTAGATAAAGAAAAAGTAATATTGAATAAAATGCATTCGTAATCACTCGACAATTGATAATTGGAATTACTGATGCAATAATTAACATTTAACTAATTTTATATATTCAATGAGCAACACAATGTAACACGTTATAAATCAAAAACTACCAACACACAAATACCAATCAACAATACATACAAAAAATTTCACAATTTAAATATTTCAATGTGGTAATTCTAATGTAATATAATATAATTAGTGATTATAGTTCTTTTGTTCTTTTGTCTGTTTATTAATATAATTAACAAATGTAACGTCACATAAGATTTATTTTTGCCCATATATGATACTGCACATCGCGAAAGTGAAGTTTGACTTTTTATGTCGTTGCTTGCCTCATATAAACTCTAGTCGAATACGTTAATTTTTATCTAAACAATATATAAATTTTAGAAAAAGTAACATCCACGTGCACGTTTCGATGACTTTATAAGCTATTTCACAAATTTCTGTAAATTAAATACATATTTCAGATTATGTTTATGGTACAAAAATCTTCAAGGTTTTAATGAAAAGCAATGCAAAGCAAACTCAATTTTTTATTGGACGTTTTGGATGTACGTTTTGTCTCCTGCCTCAATAATTGTTTCTAAAGATGTTTAAATCGTTACGACGCTTTTTTTCGTGGTATTCCCAGTAATCCTAATGCACATGCACTATCCTAAAATTCTTGCAGTTCATGATTGGCCAGGTGTTGTGAGTTAGTCTTCAGGACAGACTGAAATGTCGCAGGTAGATTTTTCCTTTGGTACATTGGAATTTTCATTGCGATCATCTTGGCTCTCGATTTCATCATAAGTTTGCTAATCGCTTGCAGATTGCAGCTCATTTAGAAAAACAATATATAATATTAAGAAAAAACATTGATCATTATATCATAGATAGACCGAAGGAAAGTAATATGCATATAGAATATACAAAAAATGCAAAAATTATTGTTTATTCACTAAGTTAGACTTTGTTTTATTTTTGACAGTAATTGTATATTTGGCTTAAGCTTTGTAACACACAGTTTTAATTGATGCTTTAAATTAATGTGCATCTGTAATTTGCGTTCTTGAATTTGTTTTTTTTTTAACATGAGAGAAAATGTCTCGCGTTTTGGTGAATTCGGTTCGGTAATTCCGAACCTGGGAAGTAAACCTTGTTCTCGAAGGCATGCAGATTCAACAGTATTTTTAAATATTTAGATGGGATCATTTTTAGATTTCTTGCTGTATAATCTCCAAGTCAAGTGGCATTTTGCCGTTTATTGTTTGGAGCGCATTGCTTGCCGTAGTACGGCATGCCTTATTATTTAATACAGTTCTTTCCTGGTCATCTCTGGAGATTCATTTGATCACTAGCGCCAAGTCATATGCATATGCAACATAACGTCCATGCAGAAGTTTTATGCAGCACGTCCAATTATTGATCCCTTCTGCGTTTTTCTCTTAACCATTTTGGTGTTGCCTGTTGCATAAGAATTTCTCATTTTAAAGTGGTCCTTAACTACATTTACCATGAGGCTGCTCAATTTGGTCTGCGTCAGCCTATGTATGATGGCGGGCCATCATAGTTATCAAAGGTTTATACACATACTCATTTCTCTATACTTTGCGTGAATACGCTCTACTAGTATTTTCTCGAAGACCTTACCCATCACTGGCAGAAGGGCAGTGATGGAAAAGCGGTATGATTTTGCTGTCTCTTCTGTCAGTGAAAACCTCATCTTTTGGGAATTCAATCAACAGGAAAACTACTTTCTTGGAAGCAGTTATTTAATATGACTACTAGATCGAATTGCCTTTTTATTTTCAGAAGACAGTTCAAGTGAGAATAGAGGAAAGCCTTCTTGTTTAATTTATCACACACAAAATTTTTATACAATATCCTAAGGGTCTTCGTTACCTACGCTGGTTACAAAGCCTCCCCATGAAGTAGATTTGTGTTTCCTTATTTTCCTAACGTATCTTTTTCTTGCCTTTTTATCAGCCTGTGCTTTGATCAATAGATCGTCAAGGCATAGTCTCTCGGCCCGCAATAATATCAATAAATGTATAAAGAAATCCAAAAGTTTGTTAAAGTATCAAATCGGGCAGTCAATGTTGGAGCTGCAGTATCAAGTATGATGTAGTAAAGATTACTTTTAAAATTTTCTTTTGTAGTCAATTGAATGTCTTCATCTCCTTCATGCTAAATTGTTTTCGGTGGCGTCGGCGACGTACACTAATTTCAGCAGGAAAATTTGGCACTGTTTCTAATGCTTCATAAAGTTGATTAGCCAATTGCAAATAATTTTCAAAACTTTCATTATTTCTAATGCTTTCGGAAAATTACTAACATTCCAAGAAACTTTTTACGTCATTTTGCTAAAAAGTTCATATTTCTGCACCATATTTCATTCTAACAATTCACGCTTAAAGCCAGTGTCAGATGGGAAAAATGTTACACATGCGTGGATGTGCTGAGAAATGATTGACCTAATTAAATATTTTACACAAGTGCAGGAATATGTACGAAAGCAAATCTTGCACTTTTCGCATCTCATACAAGAACTGTTACATGTTTGATTAGTCTGTGTAACCACATATGATGATACATTCCACTGTTTATCGGAAATAATTTGTATCTGCTTTGTATTTTCAATTCTCTTATGCCTTTTTATTGTCTCTCTCTGTCTTGTTGATATATAAGTTCAATTTATTCTTTTATTTCTGTAACAAAAGGCTTCCACTTCAGTCCTTAACACCATATCAATGGCCTTATTCATTCTCTTACTGTACTTTCCTCCCATGACTCGCTTCTTCATTTGATTATGATGGTTTTCTAAGAACATGTAGGTGTTAATTCCTAATCCTTTCCTATAGCAATATGTTCATGTAGTTTTACGGTAGCAGTAAGCTTTCCTAAAATATGAAACAAATGATTTTGTATCATCATCTCCCTCAAGCTCATCCAAAAATTTATTTAAACTAGTCCTGAATTCTCTTTAATCTAAATTCTTTTTTATAGTTATCAATTTCTCATACATTAAGTCTCTCTTTTCTCTATAAACAATCTTGGCAGCTGCTGCCCTCTTCCAACTCCTGGACACGTGTCAAGAGCATAACAGTTTATGCTGTGGAGCACTCATGACAGATGACCAAGCATTGAAATATGCTGGGCAGCCATCTGTCATGAATGACTTTGTATTGATTTTACCGACCGCCTTAGAGATTTCTTCAAAATATATTTTACACGTTACTTCATCTTGTCTGTTTGCAAAAAAATGCAACTGGAACTCCGCTTCCAAGTTCATCAATCATCATTAATGTATGCGACTGGTAATTGCAACCATTTGTTCCAAGGGTGGCATCAACGCCAACATCAAGTGCGAAACATATTGCATTTGTAGAATTCGCAAATCTTTTCGTAAGTTTGGCCTTGTCTTTTATGGATTGTTATAGCTTCTGCGATGACGACGGGAAATTGATTCCTAATGATATGATATTTTTCATCATCTGAAGAGTTTATGCGCAAGGCTAATTTTGTTATAGGAGTTAAAATATTATCTATATCACTATTCATCATGTATTCTTTGTAATTAACCCTGGCCTTTTTTCCCACTCTAGGTAGCTGAAAATCCAGCCATAAAATCTCAGGCATGTTTTTTATCTCGTCAAAAGTAATATGTATGTTTTCAAACACCGCAAGCGCCATTAACCAGCCCATCCACGACATCAATGTTGCTCGTAAGCATATACTTGATATCAATTTTAAGTCAATCGTTTCCTTAAATCTTATGTCGTTTCTACTGTTTCTTCTTAACGAATTTAAAATTAGCTTTTTGCATTGATGAATTTTTTTGAAAATACATGTTCGGCTGTCGAGATTATTAATGGATTCTTATTCTGATTAATTTTTAATTTATTACGTGCTGCTACGTTGCATTTGTTCCTCTAGTTTAACTTTTCTGGTCCTTATTAATTGTATATTCTCTTCTGTCATTTTGTTTTCTGACAAATTATTTAAGGCATTTATAAACGCTAAATCATCTTTGCTGCCTCATTACCTCCGTTAATTAAAAAAAACGAAAATATTCCACAAAGGATTAGTATTAAAAAATGGAGCCATTTCATTATGGCGCGACACTTCCTGTAGCGGCTTATCCTTTGCCGGAAGTCATTGCTTCAAATCGCTAACTGCTAATACGGATACCCCACTAAAAGGTTCTTTAATGCCTTTAATTTGCCGTAATCGAGTATCAACACGAATTAGTATCGTGCAACTTACCATTGATATCTCGTCAATTATCAAAAGTTGAACTTTTGACAATTGTTCAGGTATTGTATTTGCGACGTCGTTCGAGAGCTCAGCTAAATTGATACCGAATTGTTTGCAATGTAACGGGAACGCGGAATGCAACGTGACGCCATTTATTATAAAAGTGGCTTTTCCTAACGAATCATAATAGCACCATAATTTTATCTAAATCTCTTCCAGGGAGACTATGGAAGTAGTTTGTCATAAGCTGATATAAAGTATTTATAACCATGCTTTTCCCTACACTGGCCGATCCGCTTAAAAATATTTAAAAGGGCAATTCCACTATTTTGAACACTTTAAATATATGCATGCATTTAATTGTCGCATCATTTCGTACAGGTTATTTTCGGATACCCCGGTGGAGCATGCTTATCGACTCTTTGTAGAAGTAGTTTTGGTTTTATTACTTGTGCTTTTATTTCCTTCTTGTTGCACTATATTTGTCGTTTTCAAATGAATTTTCTTCTGTATCTTTTGCATTATTGTCATCTTGAAGTTGGTCATGTTCAATTAACTTCAGAGCTTCGTCTAAAACTTCGTCAAAGTTCAATTAATACAAAATATACTTATATTATTTAATAAATATAGATGGCGCGATCGTAACCTCTGCCGCCGCCGCGATAGTAACCTCTACCGCCGCGATATCGACCGCCGCCATAGTTACCGCCGCGATAGTAATCGCGGTAGATGTTACCCCGGCCGCTGCCATTTTTATTGCTGCCTAGGACTTCGCATACGCTGTTTTCGCCATCGTTACCGTGACTATCTGGACCGGTGGGGCCCCAATTTGCTTCATCGGACTAAAATAATAATTATTAATATTATAATAACTAATATATAAAAATAGATATATACATATGTATATGAATGGATTGGATTTTCTCTTGGATTTCTTGATTTTCCTATCAAAAGAAGTGGTAGTTTATGATTTTCAGTGTAGTTGGCACAGTTAAGCACTATAACACGTTTTTACTGAACTTATGTCCAGGGGCACTAGATTCCCTTTTAGAAGCCAAAGTGGTTTTTGGTAATACTTTCCAAACAAGGCCAGTTTCATCGGCATTATAAACAAACTCCGGATCATAGGATTCTGATGTAGTTTCAAAATTTTCAATAAAATTTTCAGCAGCTTCAGAGTCTGCTGAAAGCTACTCACCAGCCAAATCTAACTCGCGTACACCATGCCTGAATTTAAAGTTCCTTAGCCAGCCGTTACTAGCCTTGAAAGATGAATAACCAAGCTTTTCTGCTAAGATTTTGGCTTTTTCACAAATGATTGGACCTGAAATCGGATTTCCCATAGAACGTTGCTGCAAAAACCATTTAAACACGGCATCTTCCAAATTTTTGTTGGTTGCTGTCTTCATTGTTTTCCTGGAGGAACTTCCATCTTCATTTTCAAGCACCGAAACAAAGTTTAAAAGTGTTGACTTACTGTTTTTAATGTCACAAATTGTTGCTTGTCCAAAACCATAAATCTCAGACAACTTCTTATCCGTTACACCTTTATCGAGTTGCTCTATAATTTTCAGTTTGTCCGCTAACGATAGCACAACACGTTTTCTTTTCGAAGCCATGGTAAAAAACAATACAGTATTGTACACGCACAAACAAAAGTAAGCCGTAGCGAAACAGTAGCGTCCTCGAGCAAGGTCAATAGCACACTGGCTAATCAAAAAACAATGTGCCTACACTGGTCCTGTGTATAATATGTGATATGGTCCTGAAAAATATATTTGATATGGCCCTGAAAAATATATTTGATGTGGCCCTGAGAATCATAATTGGCATGGCCCATTAAAAAAATGCATATGCTATTTTTTATATTAATTCTTTCGATAACAATTTTTTAATGGGCCTATTATATAATATATTGTATAATAATAATAAATAACAAATGTTAATTAGGTTTTATTGGTCCGCCTATGATCTCTCCCATTCTCCCAATCGCGGGAATATTGTATATCCTTCCCGAGGGCTTGGTTAAATGTTTGCTTTTTAATAGGGCTCAACCGCGGATTTTTAATTGATTCAGTTGTCATTTTACGTGCAACAAAATGTATAGCCATAAATAATAAAATCATCTATGTGTACTGTGTGAATAATACCTACCATATAAACACTTCACAAGTTCAGTGTCTTTCAGTATCAATTTATTTGCTGTAGGCGTAGACGCTGTGAAATGTTTTAAAACTTCTTTATTGGTAAATCTTTCCAATACTTTTTTAACAGAAATATGCATTGCTGCTTCCTTGTCTAGCAAGCTAAAAATTTTATGGATCTGAAAGAACGTTTTCCGTGAGATAATGTCATTTTTTTACTATTTACTATACAAAACTGATTCCATATAAATAAATAAATAATTCTCACCACGTATTTTTTTAAAGACTCATTCTTTTTTAGATTTTTGTTGAATGTTTGAAAGTCTTCCAAATTTTTGAACGGTATAACTAGACCGTGTTCTTCATCAGATGTGTCAACGGGGTTAGTTCCCATATTAGCCACTAATCCTTGTAATTTTATTATCTCCCCTTGCATTGTTCTGATTTGCTGCGATAATTTGTTATAACAATCTTCAACAAAAGATTTTAAAGCATTTAATTCGTTTCCATCTGTGAATAAAATAAAATAATTCTGAAAAATAAACAAAAATGAAAGTATGTATGTATGTAAATGAATATATCAATTAAAAATGAAAGAAATTCACACGGAAAAAAATTACTTTAACAAGAGTAATAACAATGACACAAAAGTTTTCACAATTTACATGAATAATCTATTCTAAAATAGTTTATTTATTAAAAATTAAAATTAAATTATTCAATAATAATAAAAAGAAAAATACACGATAAATTGTTAACAAGAATACACTTACTTGAAGCATTGCGCAACTTATTGCCTAAATTTAGGTTACATTCCGACAATTGCTGATCGACGTTGTTCTGATTTACAAAACGCCCTTTATTCAAGCGGGATTGTATTTTTAGAACATTTTGCCTTCTGTTTATGGTTTCTTCATGTCCGTAGAAAACGCATATTCCTTTTATTGCAATATTTTTAACTTTTCCAAGGCAATTTGAAATGTATCTGAAATTACAACTCAAATCAAATATATGTTTATATATATATATATATATATATATATATATATATACAAATGTGTGTGTATAACAAAATACACAATACTTAGTTGATCAATAATACTTACTCGCATAACCTCGTACATCCACCTCATGAAGACTCCAATTATCCGGTGCTGGTGCCCGACTCTTCACCAAATCTTGAAGAAGTAAATTTTCACGTGATAGCTCATAATTATTTAAAAATGAGCATTCAAATTTATCATCTCCTTCATTATATATCAACCTATCTACCGGTACTACATCGATACTCTTATTTTCACTTGTATCATTGGGAAATAAAACAACACAATACACTACTTTTCCACTCATTATTAAACCATAATTACACGACGTTCTTTTAAAACAAATAAAAATATATCGTAATAATATTTCGTAATTTTCGCACTTCCTATTAAACACACAACGACCGCTTAGCTTCACATTCAGTAATTAACTAAAAACTAACAATGGACCTCTTTTATAGAAGATGAAGTTCTTACATACATTTGTTGGTGCATCGATCGTATTCAATATTATCAATCAATGGTTTATATAATATCATATACAACGACGCGATGGTAATCTCTTTCTCTACATTCAATATATACTTACTTTAAGCTTGTAACTTCCTCTTGAATAACCTGAAATTCTTGTTAAATTTCAACTAACTCTTCAATAACTCGGTGTATTCTTTAACTCGTTACAAAACTCTTATTGCTCTTTACTTAACCTTAAACTCTACTTATCTCTATCATTCCTGTATCTGTACTCTGTCCCTTCTACTCTGTCATCCTTACCCAACCATACATACATCCTGCTGGCTATTACGGGATCGGACACTCTCTCAAGACCCAGAGCCATCTATCCAACCGACCCGCACTACCAGCCGTTACATTCAAACTAATCAACTACATAATCTTACAGTTACTAACCAAACTACATAATCTTACAATTCGGCCATTCCTGACCTCACAGTCGTCCCCGACTAATTAGACTTAAAATTCATCTCTAATAATCTAAAATAACAGGCATTACACATATTAAACATAAAACATTTAAATGAATATGAACTTAACTCTATCTTATTGTTCCTAATACTACACTTTACACAACTGTATATATCCATTATCGCTATGTCTTTATCATTGTCACCCCCTTAATTGTTACTTCCACTTCCACTATCACTCTCTTCGGTTGACCCATCAGTTTCTGAACCATATTTACTATTCACTCTAGCTCTAGGTGGTTTACTCCCATCTCCTTGCCTGAACCATAGCTTCATCCGGCTAGGATCTACCACTGTTTTCATAGGGGTCTGTGCTACTTGGAATCCAGGCATATCCTCCACGATGTACCTGTCATGCTCTAACACCTCTAACGGCCCCTTGAACTTGGGCAACAACTTTTTGTTCACTCCGATAGTAGTATCCACATTGGAGATCATTACCAAGTCTCCTACCTGGTACCTTTTTGCTAGAGGCTTGTCACGATCATGATATTCCTTATTATATCCTTGGCTCCTCTCAATCTTCAAGGCTGCTTGTTCCCGTATCTGTACTTTATCCAATGCTTCCTCTTTCTGCATTAGATAATCCTTAACTGCATCCTGCACCTCTCCTCTTTGGCTAATTCTGCAGTAGCTTTGCAATACAGTATTGTTTATAGCATACTCTACCTTATGCAAAACCGTATCCCATCTAACTGCATCCTCTACATATTTTGCCGGTACAATGGTCCGATTGGCTCTCTCCACCTGTCCATTGGCCCATGATGCTCCAGCGGCTACAATCACTAGCTTTACCTCCTGGTCCTCTAAAAACTATTTAAAAGCATCTGATGTGAAACAACTACCCCTGTCTGTAGTCAATGACCAAGGAGTACTATAGTACTGAAAATACTGTGTTAAATGGCCAATTACCTCTTTCGCAGTAATCGACTTATATGGGTAAAGCTTACAAAACTTTGTAAACCCATCCATTACTACGAGCACATGCTTATTACCCCTGGTCGTCTTCTGCAATGGTCCTAAATGATCTATGTGCAATGTTCTGAAGGGAGCCACTCCCTTTGGAATCTTATGTAACCTTCCTGGGCCTCCCTTGCACCACCTTGAGAAGGAAATACATTTCAGGCACCCCTCAATAACTCTCTTTATCACCTCGCACATTCCCCTGAACCAGTACTGTCTGGTAACTGCTAATCTAGTCCTTTCCTCTCCGGCATGTCCCATCTGCTCATGAGTCAGCCTAACCACGTTCTCCGCCATGGACTCTGGAACTAAGAATAATAGTCTCCCCTTGGCTTTACGGTATAACAGTCCATCCCTCATCTCATAGAATTTATCTTCCTCTCTCTCCAACTTGTCCCGGATCGCCACAAGCGACGCATCCTGAGCTTGCCGTAAAGCCAGCACTCTGTCGAAACTATTCTCTTCTATTACCAGAAGCTCATGACACCTGCTCAGAGCATCAACATGCTGCATTCTGGCTGCGCCTGTTGGAAATAAACTAACTAAATCTGAGTCACACGCAACACGTGTAAAGACTTGAGAACTGTGAGGTTGTATGTGTGTGTTTTTATATGTTAGGATGTGAATACTTAAATTATTGATCTTAAATGGAAGTCGATATTAATTGTTTGTCAAAAAGTGTAAAAAATTTAAATAAGAATCATGTAATAAATTGTGATCTGATCTAATGTTGACACTATTAGAAACGTTCATAAGAATAAGACAACTTTCCGCAAATAATCTCCTAAAGATGCAACTTTCATGATATAAGATCTTTGGAGTGAAGTTAAACGAGTGGGCATTTTCAATAGAGTGCTGTGCTAGGTTACTTTTGAAATTTTTTTGTTTATGGTGGACCACACTTAGTTCATGTTGTCTCATTCTTTTGTGTACATATTGTGAGGTTTGTCAAATATATTGGCACAGTCGTTACAAGAAACAGAATATACTACGTTAGTATTGAAATTGGATGGGGTAGGAGATTTAATGTTCGTAAATTTTTTTTTGAAGAAGTGTAAGGATGAACCTGATACTAAAATGTTTTCATCTAGCAGAATTTTGGTAAAATAATAATATAACTCTTCAACATATGGAATGCTGCAGTAAATAAGATTAGTGTTTTTGATGTTGGTAGTGGTAATGTGTGTAAAAAAAGTTAGTCTGTTTTGAATAACCGAATGAATAAGATTTTTTGGGTAACCATTTTCAATTAGAGTTTTTCTTACCAAGGATATATTTTGTGGATGGAAAGCTTGGTGAGACAACAAAATAGCATGGTCTGTAAGGGAAATAATTGTGTTTATTTTATAATTTCTGGGACAATATGAGGAAAAGTGTAAGTATCTACCCGACCATGTAGTTTTTTATACCAATTTGTTCGAATAATGTTGTTAGTATTGTAAACGGATACATCCAAGACATTAAGTCTGTTGTTATTTTGTAGTTC